GGCGGGCGCGGGGGCGCGCTGGGGGCTGCTGCTGGGGGAGCAGCTCCCGAGGGGCTTTCTGCTCGCCTGGTGGTACTTCAGAAAAGTAATAATAAAACTCGTAGTAGTCTCGCTTCAGGTGTCGGCCTGTGGTCCAGATCAGCCTTTAGCTGTCCGCTGGAGGGGTGAGGAGGAGTTCGATGCAGTTAAAGAAGTTGCCGTCAGGGGGCTGGAGCCCCTCTCTTATGAGGACAGGCTGAGAGAGCTGGGCTTCTTCAGCCTGGAGAAGAGAAGGCTGCGGGGAGACCTGATTGCGGCCTTTCAGTACTTAAAGGGGGCCTACAGGAAAGATAGGATCAAACTTTTTAGCAGGGGCTGCTGGGCTAGACTTCAGAAAAGTAATAATAAAACTCGTAGTAGTCTCGCTTCAGGTGTCGGCCTGTGGTCCAGATCAGCCTTTAGCTGTCCGCTGGAGTGGTGAGGAGGAGTTCGATGCAGTTAAAGAAGTTGCCGTCAGGGGGCTGGAGCCCCTCTCTTATGAGGACAGGCTGAGAGAGCTGGGCTTCTTCAGCCTGGAGAAGAGAAGGCTGCGGGGAGACCTGATTGCGGCCTTTCAGTACTTAAAGGGGGCCTACAGGAAAGATAGGATCAAACTTTTTAGCAGGGGCTGTTGCGATAGGACACGGGGTAATGGTTTTAAACTAAAAGAGGGTCAATTCCGACTAGATACAAGGAAGAAATTTTTTGCGATGAGGGTGGTGAAACACTGGAGAAGGTTGCCCAGAGAGGTGGTAGATGCCTCATCCCTGGAAGCATTCAAGGTCAGGTTGAACGGGGCTCTGAGCAACCTGATCTGGTTGAAGATGGCAGGGGGGATGGACTAGATGACCTTTAGAGGTCCCTTCCAACCCAAACCATTCTACGATTCTGTAAGTTGTTCAAATGCTTCCTAGCCAAAACTAAGAAGTTTAACTTAAAACATGGTAAAAGATTCTTTACCAGCCTGCAATGATTTGCTGGAGCTGGTCTCAGTCTGCAGAGTTTTCTCTGAAACTGACTGCTGAGGAAAACCCCACTTCCCTGCTAGAAACACAGAAAACCCACCAAAGCCCACAGCACACTCTGTAACTAGGGAGCTCTCAGGCACTTGAAGGTGCCTGAAGCTTTGGGTGCGAAGCTTCAGTGGCTCCAGGCAGGTGCTCCATGCTGCAGGAGTGGTAGGGGGAGCACCCGTAACTCCTCAACTTCTGTTTGCCACCGAAGGACACAGGGAAATGTTTGGTGTAACCAGTCTTATCCCCTTGCTTTAACTTCTATGAAGCAAAGCAAGCTGTTGGTGATAACCTGGCGATGCATGTGGTTAATCTGCAGAGACAACTGAAAAGATTTCTAGGAAGAAAAAAAAAAAAGGAAGAGGGTAACAACCTTATTGATCTTCTTCGAGGGACTTTAGCCTTGCATCAAGGCTGAAGTAAAATTTAACTTGGAAGCAAGTTTTTATTTAAGGAAGCTATATGTGTGAAGTTGGAACTGCTCACAAAGATAAGTTTTCTACCTGTGTTCACATTTAAAAACCTTATTCTTAACTCATTTTTCCTTATGGTGCACTTTCCAAAAATACAATTTTAGAAGCGTGACTCAGGATTAAGGAAAGAACAGAACTAGTGGACACCGACCTCTTTTGTACTTGTGAATTACATGAGCCAGCAGGTTAGAGATTTTTTTTTAATCTCCATTTAGCACATGAGTGATGTGCACTTAGCAACTGCTTAAACTTGCTATTTTATACCTGATTCTAAACTTATTGCGTGTTCCTCAAACTCTCCTTTGATCTTACCTTTATTAATTTCCTGTGGTTTTCTTGATGCTCATCGCTGCAGTATGAGAGAAGCATGAACATTCATTGTAATACTTTAGACAACATGGAATTTCACACTTGTGGTACTTGAGTGGAAATATTTTAACCTTTGGAGTACAAAGGATTTGATTTTTTCAGAGTAGAGTCTTACAAGCTTTATGACAACTTCTGTAGAAGCTCATCCCCCCCATACATTGGCTTGAGCTGTGGGTGAACGCTCAGTATTTCTGTGTTTTGGGATGCTGGGTCTGAAATCAGACACTTGGATTAGCATCACACAGTCATCCTGCAAAAGGCAAGAGGGGATTTTAGTTGTCTGGAGTGACGTTCAATTATGTAAACATGAAGTGCTATCTTTTCTTTCTTCAATCTTGTTTTTCTTGTGTATCTCCCAAATTCTACACAAATGAGGCACAATACATTCAGGAAGAAGACTTTTCTTCAGAACTCTCACACATCCTCAGAGGAGTTTCTAGCAGTTTAACAAATAAAATGGAAGATACTTGGAAAAACTGTATGTAATCAAATTGTTAATATGTACCTTAAATTGTGCGCACAGAGGGTTGACTTAATTTCATACAGAAGTGCTATCATAAGTTTTTAGTACCTCAGTTTGTGGCCTTGATGTTTCTAATATTTTCCTGCCTGTAACTATCTTTAAAGACGACTGTTTCCTCATATGAAACACATAGTTTAGTGGCAGTGTTGAAACTTTGAGGTCTTCAGCACAGGCCTCTTTCATTTGGATTAATTAAAACAGTGGGTTGACAGCTGCTATTTGGATTGATGTTGGGGCATTTTCACAGTGGATTTTGTGATTTCTCTGAGCTGTGAGACTCACCCCATTGTATGAGGTGGTTGTCCTCTCATCAAGACTGGCTCTTTCTCATTGTCCTTTTTTTGGTTTACCTGTTTTCCTAGTTGTTTCCTGGCCCCACCCCAGTCTCCCTATTGACTGTTCTCCATATTTCTCATCTGTTACTTCTCTGCACTCATTTCTTTGCCTGACTAGTTAACAGCTCTTCCTGTTCATCTCAAGAGTGTTCCCAGACCTCTCAGATTAATTCCCCTTTGGCCTCAGCCTCTCTTCCAATCTTAGTCTCTGCCTAAGACTAAACACCTTTCTTCTCCATGTCCTAGAATAAGTCTGATTCCTTGCCCTAATTTATTCTGTTGTCTCTGCCTGGGTTTTGTAGCTTTTCCTTTGAAATTAAACAGCTCCCTGAGATTTTGTCTGCTAAAAAGGATGGAATGGCAATTACCATGCTCAGTGAACAGCACTGGAGAAGCTGGATCTGCCTCCAGCTGTTGCCCCCTTGCAAGTAGAACCAATTATTGTGATATCCCTGCTAGCCTCTGGTAGCATTAGGCTTCTACCTAGATGGCCTAACCACATGTAGGAGCTGTGCATTCTCAGTGGCATAGGATGCTGAAAAGTTTCAGGTTTAAGGTGAGCTTAGTTCTGAGTTTCCCTTGACAATGTGCACCCTCCAATTTTTTTAAAGGCTTAAAAAGTCATTGGTATGGGCAAAAGGCTAATCCAGCTGAGCTTTGAATTCCTGCTTCAAGGTACCACAGTGGTAAAGCACTTAACTGGAAGGGGAAAAAAAGAAAAGGGAGGGGCGTTTAATAAGGGTAAATAATACAGTTTTGTCCTCTTCTTGGAAGTGGTTGAATCTTTCAAACAAAAAAGAAAAACCTAAGACAGGCCTACTGTATGGAAGTTTACAGGCAGTAATTTTTGTAGATGCTGTCATGAAATCTGCTTGTGATAAGATGCAAGATCTTTCAGGGCCTGAAAATGGGGATCACTGATTCTGGAAACAATAAATCTTTGAAGTTTTATTTTGAGCATAGGAATGATAGCTCCTAAAAGTACTAGTCGTTCCTTAAGTGATTGGGATCATGGCAGGTATTTTGGCATCTTTCATTAGTAGCCATTACCTTAAAATGATTATCTTATTGTTTGTAATCTCTCAAAACAGACTAGCTGTTAATTACTCAGTGAAGTGTGAATACTACATTCGCATTGTGTAGGTGGATACTCACCAGAATTTTACTGTGTAGCAGCCAGAATGAATAAAATTTTCAATGTTGTTTTATTGGGTGCAGTCAAGATGTCTGGTATTTTCTTTTTTTTTTTTTTTCAGTAGTGTCCTTTCTGTTCTGTTTTCCAGAGAAAGAGCAGTCAATAAACCGAGCTGGCATTATTCAAGAGGATATTCAGCCTGCAGGTATACTTGATTCAAGTATTTGCATTGATTGTTTCAAAGACCTTGTTGAAGTAAGACCTGAATATTTTTATGGATTTAAATAATACAGTGAAGAGTACATTCAAAAAATATGTATAGAATAAACTTACCATGGAAATATTTTTTCAGGCTAATTCTTCACTTGAAAATTACGGATTTAACGAAACTTGTTTTAAATTGACTTAAATGGCCAAATAAGTTGTAGAGATTCTGTTATCTTCACAGTTTCTTAAATAGATGCCAGTTTCCACACCAGAAATTAACTTCTGAAGCAGCTCAGAGCAAGCAAGAGCAATGGGTGGGCTGTGCTCTAGATGTAAAGAATATGCTGTTGCACCCTGGTTTTGTGGAATACTGTTTTACAACTCTGCTGAAACGCAACTTAGGACCATTTATGAACTAGCCTCATGGGTGGAGATGTAAGGCAGAAATCCATGACACGTAAAGGAAAATTAGGAATGCAGCACTAATAGCTTTTTGATCTCTACTGTTGCCAGTAGAAGGTGTAGAAAAGCATATGAGGGGAATAAAAATTAAAGTATGGCAGAACATCCTTGACAGTTCATTGTTTCCTAGGTGATGGAGCAGGCTGTTCATTGTGCAAGGTTGGCACTTCTTGTTTAAAGACATGAGAGTGCTTGTCTTGATGAAACAGTTCATATCTGAATATGTTAAACGGTAACTTATTCCTATTTTTAGAAAGGCCTAACATCAGCAGCAGGGGAAAACCAAATAGGATTAATGCCATGTCGTTAGTACACATATCAGTTAAATCATCAGTGCAGGAATTACTTTCCAGGAAAGTGGTGAAATGCTGAAGAGGAGTAGGAAGGGAATTGTGAAATAGAAGTGTGGTAAACCTGCCTTTTTTATTAAACATTAAAAAGGACTGGACTGGCTCATTTATGCAAGATGCAGATACTTGATGACCAGTTCTCCTCAGTATAACTTTTCAATCTAGATTTAGCTGCTAATGAGAAGCTAGAAGTGCCACTAGTTGAAAGTGAAATCTAGACAAATTCAAGTGCAAGGTACAATTCTAGATGGTTGTTCCAGCAGTATTAGAACACCTTACTTATGGGTATGACAGGTTTTTCCTATTATCTGAAGCTTAAGATCAAGGTGAGGTTGTCTTGCTAAATATTCTTGCAAGCTTAAGCAGAGCTGTGAGTTCGGTGCAGAAATTGTTAGGTTCTTTCAGTGTTTCGTACACAAGGCTGGAGTAGCAGACCAATTTATTTTTTTTTCTCCAACAGTCTAGTTATGAACTGCCGGTATTCTCATATTTGATTTGTAGGGTTAAAAGTGTGGTCTGATCCATTTGGAAGAAAGTAATGTTGCCAGCTGGGTGTATTGCAAGGCAAAACTGCAGATGGACATCTTCAGCTGTTTCTTCTTTCACTGAAGTGTGTCTTTGGGTGTCGCTGGAGAAGAATTCTGAATATGCTGTGTGGGCACGTGAGGAGCAACAAACGCTACTGGTTGGAATCCCAAGAGATGAAAACATGCTAGTTTTGACAGAGGATGCTGGGGTGTAGTGCACAGACTCTTAGCTGAATGATTCTTTAGTTTGGAAGTGAAATATTTATTTCCTTGAGAAAAGGGAAGAGGAATTATTTTTGTGGTTAATCTGTAAACACTTGTAGAATAAATTATGAATAGAATAAATTGTGCAGACCGCTGCAGTTTCCTCCCTAACCTGAGAATTACTTTTTGTGGTTTTATTATGAAAACATGACAGAAGTATATACTGAGAGAGATCAGTGCAGAAAATAAAGATGGTGAGTGTAAATTTGTACATTAAAATTTATTCTTTTTAAACAACGTGTATTATTTTCATTTGTTTTGCAGTTAGTTGTGGCTGGTTAGCCTTGGCCAGCTGCCAGGTGCCCACTTAGCCACTGCCTTGCTCCTGCTCCTCAACAGGACAGGGGGAGAAAATAGGATGACAAAGCTCGTGGGTCTGGATAAACATAGGGACGTTGTTTACCAGTTACTATTGCAGGCAAAACAGACTCAACTTGGGGAAAATTAATGTAGTTTATTGCCAGTTAAAATAAATTTGGATAGTGAGAAACAAAAAACATAAAAGAATATCTTCCCACTGCCTCCTGTTTTCCAGGATCAACTTCACTCCTGAATCCTCTGTTTCCTCCCTGCTGGTCCCCTGAGCAGTGGATGGGGTTATGGTCAGTTTTTAACCGTTCTTCTGCTCCTTCCTTCTCACACTTTTCCTCTGCTCCTGTATGGGCTCTTCAAGAGCTGAAAACCCTTCAGGAAGTACCCAGCTGCTGCGGTGTGGGCTCCTTCCCAGGCTGCGGTGCGGGTATCTGCTACAGTGTGGTCTTTTCCATGGGCTGCAGGGGAATCTCTGCCCTGGTTCCTGGAGCACCTCCTCCCCCTCCTTCTTTTCTGACTTTGGTGTTTATACTGCTGTTCCTCACATTTTTTTCCCCTCATTCCTCTGCTTGCCTGATGTTTTTGCAAAGGTGCCACCACTTGGCTGCGGGGCTGAGCTGTGTCTTGCAGTGGGTCCTTTGCAGAGCTGGTTGGAACTGTCTGTGGCTGGCACCGGGTGACTCCTGCAGGTTGCCTTCCTTGCTGCCAAAACCTTGGCTGGTGCACCTGATACAGGAGGTTGACACCAAATGTTGGGTTAGAGAAGCAGATGCTTTTTAAAAAAGATTCTTTAAAGTACTTTTTCATAGTGAGCATAATGGCCACTAGAAGAGGCAAGTAAAGGATTACCCCTACTGAAAATCTTTACCCAAACTGGATGTCTGTCTTGATAAGTTCTGGATAAACTCTGTGCTTTCAGATTTCGAAAGAAAGAAGCAGTCTATAAGGTGTACTTGCAGTCTATAACCTAACTAGTATTGTTCTTGAGTACAGGTGTAGTATGTACATTTAACCTTACACTGTCTTTTCTTGATTTATTTTTAGCACTTCATTATGGTACGCACCATTTTAAAGACCATTGCAGGATCGTGTATGTTATGAAGAATGTATGTGCAGTGAAAGTTAGCAGATGTTAGTTTCTTATTTTTTTCTGACGTCACACAATTTTATTAAGATGACAAATTAGAGACTCTAGGTTTACAGTGTTCTTTTCCAAACTGCCATTCTGTTACTTGCTATTCCTTTTCTACCTGTCGTTGTCATTCCCCTCCTACTCAGTCATGTTTTCTCTTCAGCGTTATTTGTTGGAGTGGGGTTTTTTTGACTCCTATTATTACTCTAAGCATTACTTCTTTTGTTTGTTTGCTTGCTGGTAAAATGTGACCATATTTGAGTCCTTAGATTCTCAGGTGATTTCACGTGATGGCTAAAGTCAGACTGAGTGTATGCATTCACTGTAGGGCTGTTCACAGAAGTTTCATTACAGAGCACAGAGCAACACTGTCACAAAGTTAATTCAGTGTTTGCTAGGAAAAGAAGAATCAATTAAACTGGAGAACAAAGAGGATTTTATCACTTAAATCTTTCTTCGATGAGACTGTGGAAATGAGGGAGCCTTGGTTTTTATTTTCTTGAACAAAACATGACACTGATCCATCAGACAGTTTCAGCCAAGTTGTTTTGTCTAAAATATCTTTCCAGTGGAAATACAGCATTGCTTAAATGCAGATGCTCCATCTATAACTGTCATAGAATCAGTAAGGTTGGAAAAGACCTCCAAGATCATCAAGTCCAACCATGGACCCAACATCACCGTGCCTACTAAACCATGTCCTGAAGTGCCACATCTACATGTGTTTTGAACACCTCCAAGGATGGTGACTCCACCACCTCTCTGGGCAGCCTGTTCCAATGCTTGACTACTCTTTCAGTAAAGAAATGTTTTTTAATAACCATGAAACCTCCCCTGATGCAACTCAAGGCCATTTCCTCTTGCCCTATCACTTATTACCTGAGAGAAGAGACTGACACCCACCTCACTACAACCTCCCTTCGGGTAGTTGTAGAGGGTGATAAGGTCTCCCCTCAGCCTCCTCTTCTCCAGGCTAAACAACCACAGTTCCCTCAGCAGCTCCTCGTAAGACTTGTGCTCCAGACCCCGCAACAGCCTTGTTGTCCTTCTCTGGACATGCTCTAGTGCCTCAATGTCCTTCTTAAACAGGGGGGCAATCACTTCACTATTCATGCTAGCCACACTATTCCTGATACAAACCAGGATGCCATTGGCCTTCTTGGCCACCTGGACACACTGCTGGCTCATACTTAGCTGGCTGTTGACCAGTACCCCCAGGTCCTTTTCCACCAGGCAGCTCTCCAGCCACTCTTCCCCAAGCTTGTAGTATTGCATGTGGCTGTGACCAAAGTGCAGGACCCAGCACCCAGCCTTGTTGAACCTCATATAATTGGCCTCGGCCCATCAGTCCAGCCTATCCAGATCCCTCTGGAGAACCTTCCTACCCTTAAGCAGATTAACACTGCCACCCAACTTGGTGTCATCTGCAAATTTACTGAAGGTGCACTCAATCCCCTCATCCAGATCATTGATAAAGATATTAAACAGAACTGGCCCCAAAACTGAGCCCTGGGGAACACTGCTTGTGAACGGCCACCAACTGGATTTAACTCCATTCAACACAACTCTGGGCTTGACCATTTGGCAGTTTTTTACCCAGCGAAGAGTATGCCTGCCTAAGCCATGAGCTGCCAGCTTCTCTAGGAGAATGCTGTGGGAGATAGTGTCAAAGGCTTTACTAAAGTCCAGGTAGACAACATCCACAGCCTTTCCTTCATCCCCTAGGTGGGTCACCTGGTCATCAAGGAGATCAGGTTGGTCAAGCAGGACCTGCCTTTCATGAGCCCATGCTCACTGGGCATGATCCCCTGGTTGTCCTGCACATACCTGGTGAGTGCATTCTAGATGAACTGCTCCATAATCTTCCCTGGTACCGAAGTCAGGCTGATAGGCTGGCAGTTCCCTGGATCCTCCTGGCCCTTGTAGATGGGCGTCACATTGGCAAGTGTCCAGTTGTCTGGTACCTCCCCTGTTAACCAGGTCTGCTGATAAATGCTGGAGAGTGGTTTGGCAAGCTTCTCTGCCAGCTCCCTCAGTATGCTGGGGTGATCCCATTCAGCCCCATAGACTTGTGAGTGTCCAGGTGGTGCAGCAGGTTGTTAACTACTTCCTTATGGATTAAACGGGTTTTATTCTGCTCTCCATCCCTGTCTTCCAGCTCAGGGGGCTGAAACGCTGGGGATAATGGGTCTTACTCTTAAAGGCTGAGGCAAAGAAGGCATTAAGTACCTCAGCCTTTCCCTCATTCTTGGTGGCAATGTTCCCCCCCACATCCAATAAAGGATGGAGATTCTCCTTGGCTCTCTTTTTGTTGTTAATGTATTTGTAAATTATTTTTTTTTTATCTTTTACAACAGTGGCCAGGTTGAGTTCTAGCTGGGCTTTTGCCTTTCTAAGTTTCTCTCTGCATGGCCTAACAAGATCTCTATACTCTTCTTGAGTTGCCTGACCCTTCTTCCAAAAGTGGTAAAATCTCCTTTTTTTCCTGAGTCCCAGCAAAAGCTCCCCGTTCAGCCAGGCCAGTTGTCTTCGCCGCTGGTTTGTCTTATGGCACATGGGGACAGCCTGGCCCTGCACCTTTAAGACTTCCTTCCTGAAGAATACCCATCCTTGCTGGATCCCTTTGCCCTTCAGGACTGCCTTCCAAGGGACTCTCTCAACCAGTGTCCTGAACAGGCCAAAGTCTGCCCTCGGAAGTCCATGGTAGTGGTTTTGATGACCTCGCTCCTTACTTCACCAAGAACCAAGAACTCGTACCATTTCATGGTCGCTAAGCACAAGACAGCCTCTGACCACCACATCTCCCACCAGTCCTTCTCTGTTTGTAAACAGCAGGTCAAGCGAGGCACCTCCCCTGGTAGGCTCACCAGCTGTGTCAGGAAGTTATCTTCCACACATTCCAGGAACCTCCTAGACCGTTCCCTCTCTGCTGTGTTGTATTTCCAGCAGATGTCTGTTAAGTTGAAGTCCCCCTCAAGAATAAGGGCTAGTAATCGTGAGACTTCTGCCAGCCCCTTGAGGAATGCTTCATCTACCTCTTCATCCCTGTTGGGCGGTCTATAACAGACTCCCAGCAGGATATCTGCCTTGTTGGCCTTACCCCTCATCCTTACTCATAAGCACTTGACTTTATCATCACATTCGTTGAGCTCTGTGCAGTTGAAACACTCCCTAACATACAGAGCCACCCCACCACCTCTTCTTTTTTGCCTATCCCTTCTGAAGAGCTTCTAGCCATCCATTGCAGCACTCCGGTCATGAGAGTCATCCCACCACATTTCTGTGAAGGCAACTAAGGCATAGCTATCCTGCTGCACAATGGCTTCCAGCTCCTCCTGTTTGTTGCCCATGCTGCGTGCATTGGTGTAGATGCACTTTAGCTGGGCTATTGATTTCACCCCCAGTAGTGGCATGCCACACCTAGGCTCCTCTCCAGCGAGCCTGGTTATATCCCCTTCCCTCATTAAACCTAGTTTAAAGCCCTCTCAATGAGCCCCACCAACTCATGAGCAAGAATCCTTTTACCCCTTTGAATATCTGCAAATCGAAGAGGTTTAGGAGAAACTGGGAATTGTTCAATAACGTTGCTTCTGTCACTTGATGACACAACCGCTTAAAAAAGCAGACATCATGGTAGTGTGAAACAATTATTAAACCACTCTTTCAGGATAAATGTTGTGACAGAGGATATTCAATTACTTGGTCTGGACTTAGGAGTTAAGACCATCTCTGCTATTCCTCTACTTTGTGAAGTTGAGTAATTTGGTGAGTCTGGATCTTGCCTAGAAAAATGTTAGATGGTTTCAGAACAGTGGCTGTTGCTGGCAGGTGCTGAGCCTTTTGCCTTCATATTACCTAAATGTTGCAAAATGTTTACCTGGAAGTGTTCAAGGCCAGGGTGGATGGGCCTTTGAGCAACCTGGTCTAGTGGAAGGTGTCCCCGCCCATGGCAGGGGGGTTGGAACTGGATGATCTTTAAGGTCCCTTCCAACCCAAACCATTCTATGATTTGA